GAAGAGGGAAGATTTGCCATCGAACTTCTGGCCAGAGAAAAAACACATAATATGTAGCCAACATTTGGAAGAAGAATGATTTCAAGATGACTTGGATAATAGCGCGTTGTGACAAACACCAGATACAGCACTGGGACTTGATCAACAGCCGATACCGCACTGTGACGTCACAAACCAGTAGGTGGCAGTAGTGTTCTTTGACAAACATGGATGCCTCTAGTAAAGCACATTCACATGAAAATTACTCTTAATTAAAACACTTTTCATTTATTGAACAGCTTGTAATAATTTCATATTTAAAGTACTTTCAGAAGTTTGAATTCTGAATATGACTCTGGCGTCAACACTGAACTGCAACCCTCTGCTACTCGCTCTTGTAGCTTGTGCTCGTACTTTACAAGGTTTTTATTTTAATTTCTTTTCACCTTATCTGGAGTTTCCATTGGTGTTTGAGTTAAGCTGGATGCCAGTCGCTTCTGAGTATCCAGAAAATCTATCTTGAATCCCAGTCGGCCTCAGCAGATGGCCGCTCACACTGAGCCTGGTTCTGCTGGAGGTTTCTTCCTGTTAAAAGGGAGTTCTTCCTCTCCAATGTCGCTACAAGCATGCTTAGTGTGAGGGATTGTATTTGAGTCAATGAGTCGATGCAATCAACTGGTTTTCCTTAGATAGAAACTACTGTACGACTGGGTATATACTGATGATGTCAGACCAGATGAGATTTTCTATTGTGGTGCGGACAGTTTTTCCCACCTGAGAAACGATTTTATTTAATGTTTCTACGAACAGCAGCAGGAAATCCCCCAACGGTGCTTCCATGCTGATAAACTGTAAGCACTGATCAGGTTGTGACGTCTTCTTCCTCCATTGAAAACCTTTGTTTTGTCAATAACCATGGCAAATAAATTAGATCAGGTATTTTTTTTTGGGGGGGGGGGTTGGTGCAGCGATGGAGGGGAAATCCCAAAAAAGTTAAAAAACAATCCACTGGACTTTGTTTCTATTTTGAAGAGGTTTCGCTTCCCGTCCAGGAAGCTTTTTTCAATTGGAAATGTCAGAAATAGCGTTGAGTTTGAGGCTCTATAGAGTGGAACAAAAACAAAGCCTTATTCTGACTTTAAAAACATGAACATTTAACCAGATTAACAGGTCCACCCATTTGGAATGGGGGTCGTTTGGCTTCTTTTTTTAGCCTGCAATGCCCCATACCTGTCTATGTCTCTGAAAGGGAGGTTGTTAGATTGAATTGTTGGCCTGCCTGAAAACATTTTTACTCAAGTAGAAGTATAGATACTGGTAAAAGTTGAAGTATCAACTTGACCTCTTTACTCAAGTAAAAGTGAAAAAGTATGTGCTCCAAATACTACTTAAAGTAAAAGTATAAAGTAACCTTTAAAAAAAACAGCCAGATGTCACTATATAAATTAAAAGCTCAATTTTTCGATTATTTCTAAAATTCTTTGAGATAGGGCCAAGGATGAGGGAGGTCTTGTTAGTCTCCATCTCGCGATACGCTCTCGCCTGTGTCCGAACTTTCCGACATTTCAACATCTTTTTCTGAATCCGACATTGTAGGATGGCATAGACAATTCACATTTGCAGTTTGAAGAACACCTGCTTGCTTCTGATGATTTCCTTTAGCTAACCAATGAGTGTTTGTGTTATATGACTCATCCGATTACACTAGTTTTCACTAGATGTAGATCGCACCAATGATCTGCATAGGATGGTGAACTTGACGTGAACGAAGCATTTTTGTACTTTGTTACTTTACACCTCTGGGTATGGGGCATTGCAGGATAACAAAAGACACCAAATGACCACCATTCCTAAGTGGTGGACCCATTAATCCGGTTAAATTTTCATGTTTTCTAAGCCAAAACAAGACCTTGTTGTTTCACTCTATCAAGCCACGATCTCAACGCTATTCCTATCATTTTGAATAGAAAAAGCTTCCTGGATGGGAAGCGAAAAGTCTTCAAACTTGGAAACAAAATCCAGTGGATTGATGAGTATGACCTGGATGACTGAGAATCTTCACCAGCAGATTGAGGGGAAAGCCATGGATGGTGTGGAGGATGTCCCCTCTGCCTGCAGGGTTTCTGGTTTAACAACTGAAGGAGAAATCCCGACCAGAGAAAGTTTAAAGTGGGTGAGGTCTGTCCCTTCACTGACCGACATCCTTCTGTCTGATCTTCCAGTCTTCTCTGAGGACCGGCGGCCTGCTGCTCCGTGTTGCCAAACTTCTTCTCCACACTGGCCTGGTTCTCCTGCTCACCTTCATCATCAACTTTTTGACTAAGGTGCTCCTCTGTCTCTGCCTCCCCCAATCTTTGACTCCTCCCCTTCCTCTCCTCTGAAGGTTGACCTTGTGACCTTTTCTGTGTGTTTACAGAGAGCGCTGCAGCTCCAGTCAGACGAACACATTTTTAAGTTCATCAAGTCAAAGTTTGGTCTGGGGCCCACCAGGTATGAACTCAGAACAGCCAGACATGCATCCAGATGTTGGTTTAGTGAACATCTTTTCTATGAGCATAAACACTGTTTGTTTCTGAGGTTGGGCAAAACCTCCACTTGATCCAGAGTGACTTCATTATTCACTAGGCTCTGGTGTCATAGCACCCGCAGCGCTAATATGTGTGAATAATAGATGAGGGTGAAGCCTCAGACCCTCATCGATCAGCATGTGTCTCCATGTCGAGCTGCTCAGCCACGGGGCGGCTGTTTCGGGGCGGAGAGCAACGCAGCTCCCAGGGCGAAGCTGCACAACTGGCCCTTCAATTATTCAGGAGGTTGTGGCAAACGTGAGGCTTGTTCTTCTGTGCTGCTGTTTCTCTTCCTCCCTCAGCCTCATTTCTGCTCTCCTAGCTTTTTATTCTTCGACTCCCACCAGCATTCGGTGGAGCTGAACTCTCCATCTGAGGCACTTTTCCAAACTTTTATTTATCTTCAAGCTGAATTACCGTCAGAAAGTTCACTGAGAGAACAAAGTCCAGAGCCATCGTAAATATTAGATCAGCAGTTCAGGACAGAACATAGTGTCGATGCTAGGATGGCTTCTATTTATTCACCATTTCACATACAGTAGTAGCCATTTAAAATGGCCCTTTCCAGTCAAACACCAGCCATATGACAGACCACTTCCCTCCAACTCCCAGCTAAATCCCCTCCAACTTCCAGCCACTGGGATATTGCATATTTTCTTTACTCTGACTCCACCCTTTCACTGAATTACAGGGTCTTACCAGGAGATGAAGCTTCCCTTTAGATCTTAATGTCCACGAAGCATGACTAAAAGATTATTTTAGTACACATAATCTGAGAGGTCTGAGAGGGGGAACGCTTTTACTGTGGCCACAGAATGCTCTTATGGCTTCCCAGGTACCCACCATGAGGCGGTTCCCTATAGCGCTGCCTTTCTCTCTTTGGAAACATAGGAGCCACCTTGGAAAGAGAGGGGAAAAAAGCATATTTCACACTTTATCCTTGACAGGAAATAGTTTGAGATATCAAAACAACCTCAGCACAAGAAAAGAACATGTAACACGAGACAAACATTTCAGCGGAGGGTCACATGGGAGGCTGAAGTCACATGAAGTCAATCTGACATTTGAGACATTAGTTGTGTGTGTATAATGTGTGCCTTCAGTTTGTCCGTGAACGCTGTACACAGGTCATTGTCCTTGATGAGATGGAAGTTTATCAACAGTTCTTGGCCCATCCATAAATGTTCACGGGTAGCGGAGGAAGGGAGCAGTTCTTCTGTTCCCTTTCGCCATAACATCCTGGGGAGACTTTGATAAAGGGGGAGGCTGAATCCAGAATAACACTTTTTGTTTTGAGAGAAGGCTGCACAGGAAATTTGCATCTGCCATGAGTCTTTTCTCGCTGCTTACATGACAAATCCAATATTCCAAATTTGTCTGGCCAACCACCAGTAGTAAACAAGAAGAAGAAGCGAAGCCGGGTGTAGCAGAAAAAAAACAGTTATTGTGGAGAATTGTGTGGGTATGGCGAGTGGGAAAGAACAGGAGTTGGAAGACTCGCCAGCAGCACTTTATAGGTCTGCTGTATGGGACCGCTTTGCATTTAGAGTGATCTACGATGACGGCGGAAAGAAAGTTGTGGATAAAAGTGCAACAAACCAAACCGAACCGTGGATTTTGTGAACCGTTCCACCCATAAGTACCAGTTTAGCGTGGTTCAGGTCTGTCTGGCACGATCCAGTTCAGTTCCGCGTACCATTTACACTCAACATTTATCTCGGTTACCGTGCTCAGTCCGATCTCGGCACGGTTTCTAAAGGGACGTGTAAATGGGGCTATAGTGATGTCTTATTTCCCACAGTTTCAGAACGCATCAGCAGGGATAATCTTTCCAGGCTTTAAAGACATGGAAGTGAGGAATGCTCTTGTTGTCAGCTTTTAGGAATCCCATTTTAGTTTAACCTTTAGGAGGACTGTAAGGTTCTTCCTCGTTCCTCCTTCTCCTGGAGATTTAGAGCCTAACTGGGCCCGCTGCGTCTGCTGGGTTCTCGCTCTGTCCTCCTGCTGCCTCTTAGCAGCCAACTGATTGGCTACTTCCTGAGTTTTCCAGCACAGTCTGTTCAGTAGAACCTTCTGTGACTCGCACTATGATTCTGGTTCCAGTGATCCAGTTCACTCTGAAGAAATGATGATCCCACCACTGGTGATAGTCCAGGTCAGATGGTGGCACCACTGTAGCTCCTGGATTCCCTGAACTGGGAGCATCTCTGGAGGATCTGATGGACGCTGTAGGTCCAGATAAACAGAACTCTGTGACCCACTGTGTGACGTTCCGGTCCTCCATGCAGAGGTCAAACCAGCAAGCAGTAGGTAGAAGGTAGAGGCAACAGCACATGTTTGTGGAACCACATAGGACCTCACTGCACAATAAGCCCCACCCCCGTACTGAGGCAGCAGCAGTTTGAAACTGAGAAAAAAGGAAAGTATTATCAAACTTTTCTTGTTTCTTTAGTTTGAAAAAATAATTTTTGAATTCCAATTTTTTTTTCAGTTTAAACAAAAAGTAAAATTGAATAAAGTTTCTGCTCCCAGTTTCACTCCATTCTCCCTCATGAAGTCTCGTTTGTCTTTCTAGACGATGGTGCTGGTTGGATGTCAACCTGATCTTGTGTTGCGTTAAAAACACGTCAAACCAGATGTTTCTCACACTTAGCCAGATGTTTCTCATGCCTGGCCTCCACGTCAGGTTCATGTCCTCCAGGTCAGGTTCATGGCCTCCAGGTCAGGTTCATGTCCTCCAGGTTAGCTCCATGTCCTCCAGGTCAGCTTCATGTCCCCCAGGTCAGGTTCATGTCCTCCAGGTCAGGTTCATGTCCCCCAGGTTAAGCTTCATGTCCTCCAAGTCAGCTTCATGTCCTCCAGGTCAGGTTCATGTCCTCCAGGTCAGCTTCATGTCCCCCAGGTTAAGCTTCATGTCCTCCAAGTCAGCTTCATGTCCTCCAGGTCAGGTTCATGTCCTCCAGGTCAGCTTCATGTCCCCCAGGTTAAGCTTCATGTCCTCCAAGTCAGCTTCATGTCCTCCAGGTCAGGTTCATGTCCTTCAGGTCATCCCCTCCAGGTCAGCTTCATCCCCTCCAGGTCAGGTTCATGTCGTCCAGGTCAGGTCAGGTCCTACAGGTCAGCTTCATGTCCTCCAGGTCAGCTTCATCCCCTCCAGGTCAGGTTCATGTCCTCCAGGTCATGTCCTCCAGGTCAGCTTCATCCCCTCCAGGTCAGGTTCATGTCCTCCAGGTCAGGTCAGGTCCTCCAGGTCAGCTTCATGTCCTCCAGGTCAGCTTCATCCCCTCCAGGTCAGGTTCATGTCCTCCAGGTAAGGTCAGGTCCTCCAGGTCAGCTTCATGTCCTCCAGGTCAGCTTCATCCCCTCCAGGTCAGGTTCATGTCCTCCAGGTCAGGTTCATGTCCTCCAGGTCAGGTCCTCCAGGTCAGCTTCAGGTCCTCCAGGTCAGCTTCATGTCCTCCTTCATGCAGTATAAACTCAGCCATCCTCCTTTTCTCCTCTGCAGGGATTTTGATGCCAGTCTGTATCTGTGTGAAGAGGCCTTCGGCCTTCTGCCCCTGGACACGTTGGAGCGTCTGGCCGGCACGCTGCTGTTGTACCCCTACATCCCCACCGTGCTGCTGCTCAGCGGCACGCTAGTAGCAGCAGTGCTGCAGAACCTCAGGTAGGCGGAGCTCAGAGTGCGATAAGGAGCGAGTTTCTCATGGTGTGATGGAGTGAGATCTACGGCTGGGTAGATGAGGTCAGGCGTTTCTTGTGGACGGAGGAACCCAGAGCCGAGGTTCTTCTCTCCTCCAGAACTTTTCCTTCCTGCTTTGAACCAGCAGCTTCATCCTGCAGCTGCCTGTAAAGAAAGGTGATAGGCTGCTCTGAACTAATCACATTAGCATTTCCACTCGCCCTGTGCTGCTGGACGGCTGGAATACTAACCTCACAGAACAAACACTGTTTGCCAATCCAGGAATTAATTGAATCCAGAGCAGCCAGGCTCACGCAGCAGAGGGAGAGGGATTTGATTTCTATTCAAATGGAAGCCAGTGTCCGTCTGATTCGGAGCAGGAGGCCAGATCGTGGGAGTAATACCACCGCCTTCAGGGCCGCTCTGTTTGCATGTGCTGACTCCTGCAGACAGAAACGCTCGTGGGCGTGCATCATTACATGTCCACTTGCGTGCAAGCTGCTAATGAAATCTGAACAAGAGCTGCTGAAATTGGAATAATCTGAACAATATAAATTCCGCCCACCCCCCGTCCTGCCTCTCCTCTTAGGGCGTCTGCTTCTGATGTTTTATGTATTTACTGTGGGTTCCCTAACGCGTGTTTTCTGCTTTAATGTCTGGTTTGGGTTTCTTATTAGGCCTAAAGGAGGAGGAGTGGAGGCTTTCCGCCCAGATGTGGCCTACAACCTGCTGCACACCGTCCTCTATGGGCTCCTGGCCTTCAGCACCATGAGGTAAACCTTAATCTCCGGATGCTGACTCCCAGACAGCCTTCTTCTCACAGGAGGCTCTTCAAACCTCCTTTTTCTCTCATGAGTTAATCAGTCATACTCATGCACAGATGTTAAACACAAGGACCTCTCCAATCCATTTCACTAAGCACCTTAATGGTTTATGCAGCCTTGATCAGCACCAAGTGCTTACAGCTTTGTGCCGTTTTTGGAATTCTCTCTAGAACAAAAGATTCTGATGGGAACCTGATTGCTGAGCCTCCGATCGACACTCTGTTCATTAATGTGAGATCTGAAAGGGTTCCGATGAATGAGCAGCGGAAACTATCCACCCTCCTTCGCTCTTTATTCCCTCTGCTGCATCATAGACTCATTCCAAAACTGATAACGGATCATTAAACAATAAAAATCTAATAACGGAAAGTGAAGAAAGTAAAAACGTGCTTTTAGACGCATTCTTCTGCAGCGGACTGGAGAAGAAAGTTCATTTTCACTTTTTTTCCCCAACTTATTTTACAGTAGGTAATATATAATGTGAGGGCTCATCTAATTGGTGAAATGCCAAAATAAGATGTACAGCCATGTAGCAGCATCTTTACTGAATGGCTGGATATAGATCTTGTGATTCTAGATTTCACTGAGGGACGAGGGGGCAGTGGTGCCACCAGAGGGTGGCCAGGAGTGGCCACGGCCACCCTGTGAAATGCCCTGGCCGCACCACTGGCCACCCCACTGGCCAGGGTAAATTGTAGTTAAAAACACAAAATAAACCAAGACATAAGTAGGTGTTTAGTTAAGTCTTTGTGATTTCTGGAGGCACGTTTACCATAAAAGTAGATTCTAACCCTAAAATTATGGCTTTGCGTTTCAGTGTGCCACTCCACTAAAAAGTGGCCCCATCTGGCCACCCCTGTGAAACATTTCTGTAGGCGCCACTGAAAGGGGGGAACTCCATTTGTGAGGATTATGCAAGTGATCAAAAACAGTAACTTGTCCTATAAAGGGTTAAACCCGGCAGTGTGATGCTGCTGACTCTAGGCTTTGGTTTCCTGACCAAAGACTAGTCTCCTTTCACTGCTAGTCAGTGTTTGGTGAATCAAAGCTGACCGTGCCACTGTTTGGTTTAATTTTCTCCACAGAATGAAGTACATCTGGACCGGCCACATGTGTGCGGTGGCAGCCTATGGTGTGTGTGGGACTGAGATTTGGACTCTTTTGCTCAAAGTTCTCCGTTGCAACACTAAAGCTCTGGTATGAATGACCCCACCTCCACATGTAAAGCTGTTTTTTCTTTCTCTGCTGTAATGGAAAGTGGCTTTTATTGAATCCTATCTCTGCCTCCCCTCCCTGCGAGTCTGACCACTAGGTGTCAGTGTGGTCCTAACATCAGAGCAGCAGGTTTCCCCCTCCCTCCCATTCTCTGCCTGTCTCCCTCCTCCTCTCACATGGCTCTTCTCATACTCTGCGTTCACCTGAACTTCATTATAGTTTTTGTTTCTCCTCTGTTTGCAGCTGCGGGTTGTCAGATATGCGGTTCCCCTGCTGCTGATTGGCTGGCTGTATTACAAGGTAGGCCGTTTCCTGGCTGGTTGGACCCCTGCTGCGTTAGCAGCTCCCTCTCTAATCCCTGCTTAGGGAGCCGAATCAACTAATGAGAAAATAAATGAAAGAATAATAAAAAAAAACAAACCTTTTATCATTTGTTTTAACATTAAACACAAACTGAACTCAGATTGTGATGAAAATCAAAAATAACTGAAGTAAAACTTGGATATAAAAAGATAAATTAGATGGGAAATTAGTGGAAATTGCAGCTTATGCCTTCAGTGAGCTGCCAAACCTAGAGTCCTATGAAATGAGTTTTTCATTTATTCCAAATTCCTTTTTTCTTTGTCATAATCGCATCCATGAACCCAGGCAGTGTTTAATGCTTTGGTTATTGAACAGATTTCAATGGTTTAATAGAAGGAATGACGGCTGCAGCTCAGCTAACCCATCAGTGGAAGATCACATGGTTGACATTCTGATTATGAACAACCCCCCACCCCCCCCCTAAAACAGCTGGAGTCTGCTGTGAAGGAGGCTGATCCTCTCTGTTGATGTAGAAATTCTTCTCTGCTGGAGGAGGAGATGCTGCAGAGCTGTGAGGGTTCCACGCTGTTGCTCATGCCACACTTCCTCTCCGCCTCCTCGCCGGGGTCCATTACCTTCTCCCACAGGTTGCAGAACATCCACCCACCCCCCACCCCACCTGTAAAGGCTGTTAAAGGCTCATGGAGGCTGGTAACGGCTGTTTGAGGCTAATGGGGGATGATTGAGGCTGTTGGAGGCTGATGGCAGGTGTTGGAGGCTGATGGAGGCTTGCAGAGGTTGATGGGGTCTGATGGGGGCTGATGGAGGCTGTTTTTGGCTGATGGGGCCTGATGGAGAATGTTAAAGGCTGATGGAGAATGTTAGAGGCTGATGGGTGCTAATGGAAGCTGATGGGGACTGATGGAGACTCTTAAAGGCTGTCGGAGGCGGAATGGGGGGGCTCATGGAGGCTGTTAAGGCTGATGGAGGCTGATAGGGGCTGAAGGAGGCTTATGAAGGTTGATCCGGCCTGATCGAGGCTGATGGGTGCTCTTAAAGGCTGAAGGAGGCTCTTAAAGGCTGATGGGGGCTGATGGAGGCTGATGGAGGCTCTTAAAGGCTGAAGGAGGCTCTTAAAGGCTGATGGGGGCTCTTAAAGGCTGATGGGGGCTCTTAAAGCCTGATGAGGGCTCTTAAAGGCTGATAGGGGCTTATGGAGGCTCATGAAGGCTCTTAAAGGCTAATAGGGGCTGATGGAGGCTCTTAAAGGCTGATGGAGGCTCTTAAAGGCTGATAGGGGGCTGATGGAGGCTCTTAAAGGCTGATGGAGGCTGATGCAGGATCTTAAAGGCTGATGGGGGCTGATGTAGGCTCATGGATGCTTTTAAAGGCTGATGGATGCTGATGGGCGCTGAAGGAGGCCTATGCAGGTGGATGCGGCCTGATGGAGGCTCTTAAAGGCTGATGGGGGCTGATTGAGGCTCCTAAAGGCTGATGGGGGCTGATGGAGGCTCTTTAAGGCTGATTGGGGCTGATGGAGGCTCCTAAAGGCTGATGGAGGCTCCTAAAGGCTGATGGAGGCTCCTAAAGGCTGATTGAGGCTCCTAAAGGCTGATGGGGGCTGATGGAGGCTCTTTAAGGCTGATTGGGGCTGATGGAGGCTCCTAAAGGCTGATGGAGGCTCCCAAAGGCTAATGGAGGCTCTTAAAGGCTGATGGGGGCTGATGGAGGCTCTTAAAGGCTGATAGGGGGCCAATGGAGGATCATGGATGCTTTTAAAGGCTGATGGATGCTGATGGGCGCTGAAGGAGGCTTATGGAGGTTGATGCTGCCTGATGGAGGCTTTTAAAGGCTGATGGAGGCTCTTAAAGACTGATGGAGGGTCGATGGAGGCTTTTAAAGACTGTTGGAGGGATTACATAAATCCAGTAGGACCCAGCAGGAAACGTCTGGGAACGGCTGCATTAAACTGATTGACGCTTCCTTAACGGCGCAGCAGCTTCAGACGCTAAAGGCCGCGGTGATGCGCTTCATTGATGCTAAAGGAGAACTTAGCAAACCTTGGATTCATACATTGTTCAGGTCACAGATGTTCTGCTCAGTCGCTCCATATTTCTGTAATAAAAAACTGTTTTTTGTTTTCATTTTCCTGGGAACTGAATCTGATTTTAAATGAATAGCTTTGAGTTAAATCAGCTGTAAATTATTATCATCCAATCAACAGAAGAAACCCATTAATGATCAAAGCTCTGATGGTGATGATCAGCAAAACATTCTAGTTTTAACTTTTGAATTTTAAATTAAATAATAATTTAATTATTTATTTAAATAATATTTCAGCTTTCCTCAGGCTTTGCCTCTTGTACTTCTTCTGTAGTTCTGGCCTAAGCTGATGGAGGAGCTGTCAGATCTGAGGGAGTTCTATGATCCAGACACCGTGGAGCTGATGA